AGTTGTAAGAGTTGGGGGTCTTGGTTCCTTCTTTTGCAGAAGGCCTCTGGGTTCCTTAAGCAAATTACCAGTACCAATTGCCGTGGTGTTGATTCTGACGCATGGCGACCCCATGGGTGTCAGAGTAGAACTGTGCTCCACAGAGATTTCAATGGCTGATTTTTTGGAAGTAGATCACCAGGCCTTTTTTCTGAGACACCTCTGGATGGACTCAAACCTTCAACCATTCGGTTAGCTGCTGAGTGCGTAAATTGTTTGCACCACCCAGGGACTCCTTAAGCAAATGAAAAGACAGAATAAAACAAACCCATTGCCATCAAGTTGACTCTGACTGGCAACTGTCATTGTTGTGTGCCTCAAGCTGAATCCGACTCATAGTGACCCCATGTGACAGAGTAGAACTGCCCCATAGAATAGGCTGTAATCTTTACAGGAGCAGATCACCAGGTCTTTTCTCCCACAGAGCCTCTGGGTAAACTTGAACTGCTGACTTATTGGTTAGCAGCCAAGAGCTTAACCATTGCGCCACCGGGGCAACAATTACCTCTCTCCAAATAGCCAAAGTTTCCCTAGTGCCTGGTCTAAGGTGATCATAAGTGTGAGCTATCATTAGGTGAGGTGGCCCAGCCAGGCAGAGCCCCGTCTACCCTCTGCTCAGTAGCCTCTTCCCTTCAGGTGATGGGGTTGGGTGGGGGGACAGTGGGATACACCAGTCTCTGAGTCAAGGAAACAGGCTTCCAAAAACACATCTCCTTCCTAGAAAGAGGAGCCCTGGTGGAGCAGTGGTTAAGATCTCGGCTGCTAACTAAAGGGTTGGCAGTTCAAATCCACCAGCTGCTCCTTGGAAACCCTATGGGACAGTTCTACTCTGTCCTATAGGGTCACTATGAGTCAGAATCGACTCGACGGCTACAGGTTCCCAGAAAAAATACAGGCAGCCCCCAAATGAGGCTGATGTGTCCCCAGCAAAAGCTCCACATCCATACAACCAGATTTTTCTGTGATGCTGAAAAGGCTGAAGGTTAGCATGTGTCCTACCTTTCCCGACCAGTGTAGAGTATCATCAAGAAGGTGTAGCAGGGTCTCCATGGCCATGGGGAGCCTGGCACCCAGCCTGAAGGTCCTGCAGGCCCTGGTCCTGGCCGGGACTGCCCTGAAGTCCTCCCCACCTTTCTGGGGTGTCCCCTGCCCTCAGCAGCCTTAGACCCCAGCCCCAGGACTGGGGTGTCTATCAGCTGGTAACAGATCTTTGCTTAATGCCAGTTTGCCTAAAATCACTTCAATTTGCTTGAACTCAACCCAATTTTTGTGACCACTTAAAGTATTTTTCAACCTATTTGTCTAAGGGCATTTCTGACGTAGTTTAACAATTTCTGTACACATTCATCACATCTGAACCTTTGTGAAGGTTGGAGTTGTTTCCCTTGGTTGTATTCTTTGTGATTCCACACCCCCCCAGCCACCATTTTATCTACTTATGAACACGCTGTTAAGGATTGAATTGTGCCCCTCAAAAAGATATGTTGAAGTCCTAACCTCTGTAACTGTGAATGTGACCTTGTTTGGGGAAATAGGGTTTTTCTTTGTAGATGTCGTCAGGTAAATTAAACGAGGTCATAGTGGAGTAGGGTGGGCCCTAATCCTAATCTCGTCTAAGTGGCTTCTTACAAAAGAGAAGGAGAGACATGCAAATAGGTCAGATACGGGAAGGGGGGTCGGAGTCAGCATGGGAGGACCCACCTACAATTCAAGGAATGTCAAGAAATGCCTGGGGTGACAGAAGCTGAAACCATTGAACATCTTAACAACAAGCAAGCCACCACTGACAGACAGGTGTATTGGCTGGAATCGAAGCTGGGTCTCCCACATGGGAGAGAAAATTCTGTCACTGAACCACCACCAATATGGTTCCGTGGAGCTTCCAGACTAAGATGGACTAGGAAGAAAGACCTGGCAAGAACGGCTCAAGATGGCGGTTTAGACAGACACGCCATGCCGTCCCCCTACAGCAAAGACCCAAGAAACCAAGTGACACAGATACAGATGACAATCGTGAAACTCTGAGCATCAAAAGGAAAGATGAAGAATTAGATCGAACACCAATTGGAAGGAGAAACTGAATGAAAACAGCAAATGAGGAGAGTTATGGATCCGAGGTGCCCTGCCACCCAGCCCGTCTCGTCTATTCTTTAAAACCACCCACTTTGTAGTATTTTGTTATGGCATCTCTAGGAAACTAAGACAGACCAGTAGAGGATACAGTAAACAGAACCCCTCAACACCCAAAACACTGAGAACTTAGCCCAAACCCACTGCCAACAGGGAGGGGAGAACTATGAGGGTGATGTAGAGGTTATATCAGCTGGGGAGAAAGCCTGCAACTGCTCGAGAGAAAAGGTAGAAACAGGCCTCGTAGAAGCTTTTCATACCCTGCATTACAGTTAAAAATCTAATTTAGATGAAAATGGATGCATGGAAATTAAACGCGCATGTGAGGCTTCCGTCCTTGTGTACCTTAACGAGAGCTTTACCAAACGTATTCCTTTCGCTTGAAAATATTTTTTTTGAAATTTGATTTTGTTGTTTTACAAATTGTTTTAGCTTTGTGAATAGTACAAACTCCATTTCTGCTCTGCTTCAAACAAAAATAGAGCATTAAAGTGTTTAAGAGTCAATCAAAGGCTTGCTGTGGGTGCCACAATATAAAAATAACAGAAAAATCAATTCAATTTTTATTTTGAACATGATTTGTCACAAACAGGATTCTAATAGATAAGGCTGATTATATGGTAGCAAAAGTAATTTATATATACTGAGCACGACGCCTTTGTCAGAGTCATCATTAAGAAATTTGACACATATGCAGGAGAACAATAAATGTCAACTGAAACGTATACCAGTTAGATATAAATGGAATGCGGAAATGAGCGATGCCTGAACACACTATGCTTATAATAATATGCAGTCTAGAGTAGCTTGTGTTTTCAAATAAGAAGTCTTTTTATGTTGTCATTTAAAATATCTCATATTTCTGAAGGTCAGGAATAAATGGCACTAATAGCATTAAAAGCTAGTAAAAGAAAAAGTAATGTGTTGTTCATTTAACATAACATTTTAAGAAATGGCTTTGTAAAGTATTCATTTGTTTCCCCCAATGAAAGCTGAGAAGACAGGATAAAGACGCCTGGTTCTTAATGGAGGGTTTTTTTTTTACTGCACCTGTTATTGTTAACATCTTGAATCAGTGAGATCTTTGTAGAATTAGGTAGTATGTGCTGGAGCAGGTTATGTTAAGAAATAAAGCTGTCTATACGACCGTGGTCTCGAGGGCTCCAGCAGGGTGCTGCTCTGGTCCTGGGTTTGGTCCTCATTAGCAGTGCCATTTGGTACAGGGATGAAGCATGATGCTGGGGCCAGGTGGCAAGACTGAGGATGGAGGGCTTTGCTGCTGCAGATACAGGTCCTCAAGAGAAAGAGGAGGGGAGGCTCTTCTTGCTGTATCTCAGGAACAGAGGCAGATAAATCAAGATTTGAATTCAAATATAGACATGGGACCATCTTGGAGGGAGTTAGCCATAGAAACCCACTCAGTTACCTTTTATCTGTGGTTGCTCCCAGCAGCCACAGGTCCTGAACAAAATACAAACTTCATCCATCTGTGCAACTGTGCAACCCCTCTAGTCCCTTTCTGTCTCTCTCTTTTGCCCTTTTTTCTCTTAAATTTGGCTAAAAAGTTAAAACAACAACAACAAAAAGTAACATAGACAAATACCACTGTAACCACCACCTGGAATTAACAAAGATGAAACTTTTATTATATTTGCTTCAAATCCTTTAGTATGAAAAATAAATACGACCGTATTGATAAAGAAGTGTTCTAAATGCCCTTCTAGGCTATGTTTTGATATTTTGTACCACATATGCAGTAAGCAGTAGTATTTTGTCAATCAAAATGTACATAAATGATAATTTCTGTATCTAAATGGCAACTTCCTGACACTTGCTTAAGAAAAGCAAGGACATTCATCAGGGCATTTGGAGGATCTAGTTACGTTGATACATACGGATCTTAGTTCATTCTTTTTAATTGCTGAAGTTATAGTTTGAATAATCTGATGGGTGTGATTGTTATGTTCTATTAATTTATATTTCCCTGATTACTAGTGAGGTTGAATCTCATAATCTATTATTCAGGTTTCCTCATCACCTGCTATGTTGTTTGTCCATTTTTCTCTTGGGTCGACCTTTTCTTTATATATTGTGAATACTAATCCTTTGTCTGCTGTGTCCATTTCAAATACCTTCTCTGAGGTGATGGCTTGTCTTTGTCTTTGGTTTCTCTGTTACTTTTAAAGAACAACTGATGTCTGCCAGCCCTTCCTCCTTCATTTGTTGACAATTTATTGTGTGCCAGGCACTGTATTAAGTGCTCTGCGTGCCTTATCTTATTGAATCCATACAATTGTCCTGTGCAGTAGCGTAAGGTAAGTGTAGCCATTGGAGAAGTTAAGTAACCATCTCAGGTGGCACAGGTGGAAAGAGAGGAAGCTGGGAGTCAAGCCTGGCTCTGCCTGACTCCAGAGCCTGAGTGTTTAACCTGATATTATACCATGAGAATTAGTAAGAGTGAAGTCTAGAAAGTTCATCCTGAAGGCATAAATGGAAACATTCACGGTAGTTCTCAACGTTGGCTGTACATCCCCTGGGAAGCTTGAAAAAATACTGACGCCGGCCTCCACCCTAGAAATTCTGATGATCTAGAGTGTGGCCTGGACATGAGGATTTTCTCTTAAAGTCCCTAGTGGTGGCAGAAGTGGGTAGGTGAGAACTTTTAGGCAATACCGGTGGCCAATTTGGCTCCAGTCCCAATAACCATTTCTGAAATGTGACACGAGAACATGGAGAAGAATCATACATCAATGTCATACAAACACAACAACATCAAACTGAATGCATTATAACATTTATTACAGCAAAGATAAAAGAGCACCGTCACCTTTTTAACAAGGGTAAAGAGATTGCAAAACATCTTCTCGCACAGTATCGCTGCCACAAAATGTGTACCTGTGGAGGAAAACATTTTCAGCCTGAGGTCCTTTTACTTGTGGAAACGTGATCTCAGATAAGGAAACAGCATTTAGCCAACCCCTGGAATTCAGATTGCTCTGACTGAAGATCTTTGTTACCCCAAGCAGTGATTGTCACTAAATAAACCTACTCAAGGAAAATCCTCCCCTCCTTGAGGGCTCTTCACAAACTGAAAGCGAATCAGCCATGTCAATGCTTTATAAAACCAAGGGTGTCTCTGGCGGGCTTGAAGCTTCAGGCCTGGAAATGAGTTCCCGGCTGCCTAGGGGGACTTTCCCTGTTGAGTGAAGACCATGAAGATACACTGCTTGTGGGAGTGTAAAATGGGGCAGCCATGCTGGAAAACAGTCTGGTGGTTCCTCTAAAGGTTAAACACAGAGTTATCATGTGACCCAGCAATTCTACTCCTAGATAGAATCCAAGAGAAAGGAGAACATATGTCCACACAAAAAACATGGACATAAATATTCATATTGGCATTATTCATAACAGCCAAAAATTAGAAACAACTCAAATGTCTATTAAATAATGAATGGATACATCAAATGTGGCATATTCAGACAATGGACTATTATTCAGCAATAAGAAGGCATGAAGTCCTGCTACATGCTACAGCCTGGATAAAACCTTGAAAACTTTGCTAAGTGGAAGAAGTCAGACACAAAAGGACAAATATTGTATGATTCTATTTCTATGAAATGTACAGAATAGAAAAATCTGTAGAGGCAGAAAGTAGATTAGTGGTTGCCTAGGGCTGGGGTAGCGGGCTTGGGGTGCTGGCTAATGGGTACACGGCTTCTTTATGGGGTGATAAAAATGTTCTAAAATCGATTGTGGTGGTGGTTATATAACTTTGACTATACCAAACACTAATGTGTACCATTGCATTGTACACATTAAACGGGTGAACTGCATAGTATGTGAAATATATCTCAATAAAACAATAAAGTTGTTTTTTTAAAAAAAAAAGATCATGGAAGGTTTTTGCTCCTGAGGCGGTGGGAGCCTGGTCAAGTTGAGGCACCCATCAAGCCATGAAATTCAGATGCTTCGGCCCTCTGCTTCCTTGTTGGTGTCTTTGGCTAAAGAGGGAGAGCGTGGCCAAGCCAGCCAGCCTCCCTCAGGGCTCAGCTTCAGAATGTAGTTCCCCATGTGGGAAACCTGGTATGGAGTATGTACTTGGGTGTTTGGGCTATATAGTGTGTGGTCCATACTGTACTTGAAAAGAATAACTTGCCTCTCCACCCCACCTAAATAAGTGAAATCTCGACTTTTCCACAATGCACTCCACAGCCAGGCCTTATGGACCTCTCAGCTCCTCATCTGGCTGCGTGAGCTGGACGATACAGAGAAAGGAGCACAACTGGGCATCCGAAGACCTGGGTCTGAGTCCTTGTTGTGTCTCACGTTTGTGTTCTGCTCTGGAGTATGTAAAATAATGGCACAGCCACAGCCACACCTGATCGAACAACATGCCCAAGAATCAAGGTTATTATCAGATAATAGCCAGCAAAGTTAAGTCCTGGCTGAGCAAGATCTGTTGTGTGTTTCAGAACACATTGTGAAGTCCAATATTCTTTCCACTAGTTTCCCTGTGTGACCTTGGACAAGTTTCTGGACTCTCTGAATTGCAATTTCCTCATCTTAAAATGAGAGCAGTTGAGAGGTGACATCTAAATATCCTTCAAACCCTAACCTTTTCTTATTATCCTCTTTTAAGATGCCCTTTCTATCTTTCTGTATTTTAAAAGCAGTTATGTTCCCGCCCTTTGCCTACCAAGTAAGACTCTATTCCCTCAGAATGAGGAGAGTTTGTCCACCGTGAAATAGATTTCCATATCCCTCTCATATCATCTCTCATGTTATGGTCTCCAAACAAACCAGTTTACAAGAATAAGTGCACACCCACTGAAATTAATGTAGAGATTTCCTCTAAGCACTGCCTAGGTGCTTTATCTGTTGCTTAAGATAAAATAAAATAGTCTCATATTTGCATGTTTCTTGACTGTATGCTTTGTCCCTGCCAAGTTAAATAGGGCCTCTGGGAAATTACGTTCGATTTTTCAAAGTAAAGCAGATGGATACAGGAAGAGTTGAGATGAATAGTTGAGTAGATAAATGGATGGATGGGAGAGTGAATGGATGGCTGGATGGCCAGAAGGAGGAAGAGATAGAATCTGGAAGGATAGTGGATGGGTTAGTGGCTAAGTGGATGGGCAAAAAGGGATGGATGGACAGGTAGATGGATACACAGATGTGTAAGTGGGTGTTACGGATTGGATTATGTCCCCCCAGAAATGTGTGTATCAGTTTGGCTGGGCATGATTCCTGGTATTGTGTGATTTTCCTATATGTTGTAAATCCTGCCTCTATGATGTTAATGAGGGAGGATGAGTGGCAGTTGTGCTGGTAAAGCAGGACTCAATCTACAAGATTGGATTGTGTCCTGAGGCAATCTCTTGAGACAAAAGAAAGAAGTGAGCAGAGAGACATGGGGACCTCATACCACCAAGAAAGCAGTGCCAGGAGCAGAGTGCATCCTTCGGACCTGGGGTCCCTGTGTGGAGAAGCTCCTAGTCTGGGGGACCACTGATGAGAAGAAGGCTGACAGAGAGAGAAAGCCTTCCCCTGGAGCTGCTGCCCTGAATTTGGACTTTTAGCCTGCTTTACTGCAGGAAATAAATTTCTCTTTGTTAAAGCCATCCACTTGTGGTATTTCTGTTGCAGCAGCACTAGATGACTAAGACAGTGGGTGACTGTGTCATGGATTGAATTCTGTCCCCAAAAGATATGTGTCAACCTGACTAGGCCATGATTCCCAGTATTGTGTAATTGTCCACCATTTTGTCATCTGACGTGATGTGCTGTAAATCCTATCTCTATGATGTTAATAAGATGGGATTATTGGCAGTTGTGTTGATGAGACTCAATCGTCAAGATTAGATTGTGTCTTAAACCAATCTTTTTTGAGATGTAAAAGACAGAAGTGAGCAGAGAGACATGGAGATCTCATACAACAAGAAAGCAGCGCCGGGAGCAGAGTGCATCCTTTGGACCCAGGATTCCTGTGCAGAGAAGCTCCTAGACCAAGGGAAGATTGATGACAAGGATCTTCCCCCAGAGCTAACACAGAGAGAAACCCTTCCCCTGGAGCTGATGCCCTGAATTTGGACTTCTAGCCTACTTGACTGTGAGAATAAATTTCTCTTTGTTAAAGCCATCCACTTGTGGCATTTCTGTTATAGCAGCACTAGATAACCAAGACAGATTGGATGGATGGATGCGTGTGCAAATAAACAAATATAAATAATCAGATTTAGACGGAGTAAAAGATACGCACTCAGTCCCATCTTCACCACTTTGCACCGTGATTTGGGAAGCCCCCAGAGTGGGCCAGAAGAGATCTATCACGTTGTTGTACCAGAGGAACTTAACCTTCTGGATTTCTCCAACATTGAGGTCCACATCAATGTCAAGCGTATGACTTGCATCTGGTCGAAGGGATCCTCTGAAAATACAGACATAAAATGTTATATTAGCTGTATGTATGGATACATGGGGTGATAACAATGTATCGTTTCTCCAAACAGTAGCTGCTGTTGTTGGTTTTCTGTGAATGCCTCCAATGACTAGATACACATTCAGGGGCAGCCCAAACAGAAATGTATTTGTGCAGACCACGTCTTTAAAACTGAACTTTAGATTTACACTGTCTTAGTTTGTCTCTAGAGGGGAGTCAAGTATTTTAGGGTGGCATATTAACTCCAGAAGCACCAGTGGCTCAATGGTTAAGAGCTTGGTTGCTAACCAAAAGGTCGGCAGTTTGAATCTACCGGCCTCTCCTTGGAAACCCTATTGGGCAGTTCTACTCTGACCTATAGGGTCGCTATGCGTGGGAATTGACTCAACGGCACACAACAACAACAACATCATTAACTCTATAAGTTCACTATACGGCTAATTTATGTGGTGTCTCATGTTTAAAGTGTGTGTGGTTCAGCTGAGGCTACTTGTTAGCATCTCATATGTAGCACAGAGTTCCTGGGTGGTGCAAACTGTTCACGGGCTTGGCTGCTAATCAAGAGGCTGGAGGCTTGAGTCTTCCCAGAGGCACCTCAGAAGAAAGGCCCGGCAATCTACTTCTGAAAACTCAGCCATTGAAAACCCTGGGGAACACAGTTCTACTCTGACACACACGGGGTCACCATGAGTCAGAGTCAACTCCACAGCAACTGGTTTTCATATGTATCACAGGAAGTTGTCAAATAGTTTCAACTCAACATGAAAATTATTATGTAAAGTGAAAAAATAGAATCTAATTTTATAGCGTAGGTTATCCATTCATTCAGTGCACATTTACCAAGCGCCTCGTGTGCCCACGATATGCCCGGTGCTGAGCCTCCCACAGCAACAAGAACGGGGCCCTATGCTTCATGGAGCGAGAGTGTGTAGGGGGATGGAGTATGTGTTGGAGTGAGGGGTGGTGAACGTGCCTCACCTGGGGAGAATTTGATATTCCTAAAACTTAAGTCAGGAAGCAGTGATTGACATTCCAAAAGGAGTTGGCACATGGTTCCTTTTATATAATGTGTTCCTGCCCTCTGGGCCTCAACCGTCTCATATGTAAAATGGGGTGACTGAACTAAGGTTCCTTCCAGCTCTGATACTCCGGGATTCAATAGTTCTGTTTCACAGATGCCTGGATTATAAGCTAGTTTATACGCACCCCCTCCTCTTTTTTTTTTTTTTTTTGAGAGTGAATAATCTACTATGGAAAGTATGCTCATTTCACTTTAATATTCGACTTACTTGAAAATCTGATATTGCTTTGAGTTTCCATTACTTCCATACAAAGCAACCCTGATGTACCCATTCAATTTTCTTCCCCCGGCAAGTGTGACCGATACCCTGTATCGCCAACCTGTCCAAAGAAATACAACAGTTCAATTAACTAACTCATCTTGTTAAACAAGGACCCCATGGAGGCATTCTTATCCCAAGCTCTGAATCTCCCATGGGTGAGAAGAAAGGTGAAATGTGACTAATGGTTTCCTTTAATGAAGCTGGGGGCCCAGGAATCCAATTCTAGCTGGGAGTGGGGGACTCAGAGGGCAGTAAACAGTAAAACAGTAAAAAAAAGAAACCTATTGCTTTCTTGTTGATTCTGACTCTTAGTGACCCTCTAGGGACCCTAAAGAACAGAGTAGAACGGCCCCATAGGGTTTCCAAGGAGCGCCTAGTGGATTTGAACTGCCAACCTTTTGGTTAGCAGCCGTGGCTCTAAACCATTACACCACCAGAGTTTCCAGTGAACAGTATAGTTCAGTATAATCCCTTACCAATACAGCAAGGTACATGCCCTGGTAGGTGAATGGGTGGCTGGACATGTGTACCCTTGATACACATCAGTACACGAAAAGGCCACAGGGAGGGAAGGTGTTTGTGGCTCCACCATTTGGAAAAATCACCTAACTGCTCTTTCTCTCTCATTTCAGTTTTTTGCTATTTTCACATGTAATAGACCTAGTCTCAAAAGCCAAACAACACCAAGCTAAAAAATGTCCCTTAATCAGCACCCCATCTGCCCACCCCCATCCCAGGTTCTTCCCTGAGGTACCCAGTTTGACTTCTATCCTTAATCTAGACCTCTGATTCTCAACTGGGGATGAGTTTGCCCTGCAGAGGACATTCAGCAATGTCTGGAGACCTTTTTGGTTGTCACAGCTGGGGTGGGGTGTGTTGGGGTATACTACTTGCCTGTAGTGTGTAAAAAGAGGCCATGGATGCTGCTAAACATTCTATAATGTACAGGACAGTTCCCTACAACAACAAATTATCTGGCCCAAAATGTCAATAGTGCTGAGGCTGAGAAATCAGGCTCTAGATCATTCTCTGAGCATTTATATATATATATATATATGTGTGTGTGTCTGTGTGTGTGTGTATCTATATGAACATATAGATACATGGAAACATTCTTATCCCAAGCTCTAAATCCCCATGGATGAGAGGAAAGGGGAAATGTGACTGATGGTTTCCTTTAATGAAGTTGGGGGCCCAGGAATCCAGATTCTAGGAGGGAGTGAGGGACTCAGAGGGCAGTAAATATTATCATTCAGCACAATCTCTTACTAATAAGGCTGGTATACCTTCTAAAATTATTTCCAACAATTTTTAAATGGGTAAATGGAAACTTACGGGTAAAGTTACCACTGTCTCCTGTGTTCAGGAAAAAGGTCTGTCCCACAGCACTGCTTTTCCCCTTAAACTGGTCAGCATAGTGTCCCATTTTGGGGCATCCTTCACTTGGACAAGGAAAACACTCACTCTAGTGAAAAAAAAAACATAATTTGTCTGTTAGTGATACATCTTTGACTCAATCACTCACTCATTCGACCAACTTATCTTCCCATTCATCTTTCCATCTGTGTATCCACTCATCCATTCACCCACTCATTCTCTCATCTACCCATTTAACCATCCAGGTGCCCATTCATCCTCCATCCATCCTCTCATTTACCCATACATTCTTCCATCCTTCCATCCATCCATCCTCTCCTCAATTCATCTGTCCATGCTCAGTATGGTAGATAGAACTTTGCTAGGCCCTGAAAGGTACCCACAGAAGTACCCTGAAAACTTAAGAGTGTAGTTGGGGAGACGAATCATTCCCAGGAAGCAGTAAAATTAAAATATGTAAGGGAAATGCAAAAGAAAATCTCTAGGGAGAAGTAAATGGGACAAAAAGCAAGTTACTTCAGAAGAGGAGAGGAAGATAAGATCTGTGATCATTTTTATTACAATGTGAAATATTTGTCCAGACCAGTTGATCCCCTTTTGATGGCCCCCTAATGGCAGTTCATTATTTGAGCCTGGAGGAGGCAGTTTCCTCCCTTTAGATAAGGCCAGCAACTTATGCCACAGTGCCACTTGTCCTCTGTTCTTTCCCCTCACCACCATGCCCACCCTGCACTGAGGGCAAAGCTCTTTGGTAATTTGTAGAGCATAAGACAAGTGCTGGAGGCCATGTACCCATGACCCCAATACAACTAGCATAGCTCATGCTACTCACTGAATATGCAACAGATCTTGGGGACAGATACAAAGTCCTGTTGACCTTAGGGTTCAACCCAAGAGTGTAAAGGTCAACATGCATTATACTCTCTCCTCACTTACTGACATGCTTAGGTTCCAAAGACCAGGTCATCCCGTGACATTGGTGTTATGCAAAAATGGAGTGTCCATTTCTTCCATTTCAAACAGTTACACAGGTCCATAACCCTGAGAGGTGGAAATGTCGGTGGGTGGTATACGTCCCACTGGTCATGTTAACGTGCTAAACAATTGGATAGTAGATTGTTTACTATTGTCATAAATGCGAAATGTTGGATACCGAGATGGTAAGTGAAGAGAAGGTGTAGTTTGAAAGGAAAAAATGTGAATCTAAACATACTTTAATTTTTACCTTTGAGAAAAAAAATTTTAAATATCAAATGTTTGCAAACCCCAAATGTAATAACTAATTCAGATACGGATCATCAATAGAAACTCAAACCTTTTACTGGGTAAAAAGTGGCTGGGAAACAATATCACCCCACAGATTAGTTAGGGGAAAAATATCTTCATAATGGAGAAATTTGGCAGACACCATCTGCCTCACCCCAGTCCCTGATCACTTAACCAAGTACTCAAACTTAATGTCACCAAATAATGGGACAAACTGCCTTTACATGCCTCTCGTTGGGATGCAGTGGGCAGGGCACAACACCACCCATCCAATCACAAAGAAGTGATCAAACTAATTCAGATAGTGCGATATTCTGCAAAACAACTGGTCTGAAATCCTCACAACTATCGGTGTCATAAATGAACAAGAAAAATGAAGCGAACTGTTCTAGGTTAAAGGAGACTAAAGAGATAAGACAGTAAATGCAATGTAAGGAAAAGAAAGACAGAGAAAGGAAGGAAGGAAAGAAAAAAGGAAGGAAGATAAGCAGACAGCTCCAGAGGACATTACTTGGAAAACTGGAGCAATTTGAATATGGATTACATGTTAGAAAATATTAGTGTATCAAATGTTAAATTTCTTGAATGTGGTTCTGTTGGAGAACAATGTTCTTAGGAAATGAATGCTGAAGTATTTATGAGTAAAGTGTCATAATGTCTTCAATTTACTTTCACATAATTTTGGGAAAAGACGTATGTATACTATATATATATTCCACATATATATACAGATCATACATATACATATATATAAATCCAAAATCAAAACCAATCTTTTGGTAAGTAGCCGTAGCTCGCTGCAGCTCTTAACCACAGCTCCACCAGGGGTCCGTATATTTATACATACTATAGAGAGAATACATTTATGTGTACAGATATATACATATATCAAGCCAAAAAAACCAAACCTACTGCCATTAAGTCCATTCTGACTCAAAGCAACCCTGTAGGACAGAGTAGAATTGCCCCATAGCGTTTTCAAGGCTGAAAATCTTTGTGGAAATAGACTGCTACATCTTTCTCTCACCGAGCACCTGATGGGTTCGAACTGCCAACCTTTTGGTTAGCCACGGTGTGCCTAACCACTGGTCTTACTATATTTCCCCATCACTCTGAAGCAGCTGGCTTGCTAGAACAACGGAATGGCCTCCTAAAGACACAATTACGGCACGAGCTAGGTGGTAATGCTTTTCAGAGTTGGGGCAATGTTCTCCAGGAGGCTGTACATGCTCTAAACCAGCACCACCAGGGCTGCACTATATATACACACATATATATATGTACACACGTACACACACACACACAGAAATATGTAAATATATATGTAAATGAGGTGCCCTGGTGGCACGATGTTTAAGCATTCGGCGGCTATCCAAAAGGTTGGAGGTTCAAACCTACCTGCCACTCCATGGGAGAAAAGGCCTCGCGAGTTCTACTCTGTGCTCAATGGCAAACAACATGTATTGGTTTACATATATATATACACCCAAAACCAAACCCATTGCTGCCGAGTTGATTCTGACTCATAGTGACCCTATAGGACAAGGTAGAACTGCCCCATAGGGTTTCTAAGGCTGCAAATCTTTACAGAAGCAGACTGCCACATCTTTCTCCCATAGAGTGGCTGGGGGGTTGCAACTGCTGATCTTTTGGTTAGCAGCCAAGAGCTTTAACCACTGGTCTTACCAGGTCTCCTCTCTCTATAAATATATTATATATATATATGTATATATACACTTACCGGAACTGTGCAAATAGGGTAGTTGTGGCCCACCAAGGGGACTGGTCAGTTTTTGATCCTGCTGGGCTTGAAACGAGCCATCCCAGAGGCAGGAAAGAGAGGATCCCACCACCACCAAGGAAGGAAAGCCAAGAGTGGAGTGTGTGCTTTGGACCCGAGATCCCTGTGATGAGAAGTTCCTGGAACCAGGAGACATACAGAGAGAGCTGTAACACTGAAGACAGCAAGAAGCAGTGGCAGAGAAACGGCACAGGAGAGACCGGCAGGAGACGGCACAGTGGGCCTCCTGGCCCATGGAGTGAGAAAGCCGAGTGCATTTGGGCCGAGGCTTACTGGTGGAGTGGGGTGTCTCTGGGCACTTAGTGGCAGAGCTAAAAGGGCTTTGTAACACTTGCTTGAACAGGGCAGAGGCTGAGGGGCCAGAGAGAGGCATGCCCGTGGCACCGCTGGGAAGAGGCTGTCCTGATGGAAGAACTGTATTCTGAGTGTTCCTGAACCTGAATTGTAATGTGTTACTTCCCTGATAAACCCCATAATCATGCGTTTGGTCTATAAGTTCTGTGTAGCCACTGCAATGAATTATCGAACCCAGCACAGAAGTAGAGAGTGTCATGGGAGGGACGGTTGGTGTCAGAACTGGTAGGTAAAGATGGTGGAGAGAGGGGGCATGTCTGACCTCCACCTCATAGGAATTAGCTTTGGGCTGTTGATCTTGAAAGAGAGAGAGAAAAAGAAAGAGAGAGAGAACAAATCCAAGCAAACATGGCAAAAATGCTAACAATAGGTGATGGTTGTACAGGTATGCATTGTATGCTTCTTTCAACTTACGTGTAGATTTGAAATTTTCCAAAATTCGAAGCTGGGGTGCTGGGGGAAGGTCCAGCAGAGGTGGGTCTGTGCCATCTCCTCTCTGCCCACCCTGTGCCCTGAGGACGGCTTCATGAGGCTCATCAAGTCCACACCCTCCCTCATAAGTTGCCAACTTGTATCTCTTTGCTTTGTTCTAAGCCACAGAGACAAAAACATCACCAACAGGGACACCAACAACATCTTCCCAGGATCCCAGGGAGACTTACCTCCTGAAACTCATTGTAGGAGGTACATGGGTAGCCCAGGAAGCCATCAGGGTTGATGATGCTGCTCGAGTAATACTTGTAGCTTCTGAGGTGATTGCAAGCAACAAAGTCCCGGGTTCCTGGGAAAGCAAAGACCACAGGAGCTCGCAAGAGGCACTTCACTTAGGGACGTGAACCATTCTGACCAAGCGAGGAATCACAGATGGTGTCAGCATTCCTGAGTGCCTTGGTCACCATTAAAAACTTCTATCATTGACTCTGACATACTTAGAGGCAAGCAGGAGCTTTGGGAACTTGTTTACTAATGGTATTTAGTCTTCCCACCATCGTGTCCCTTTGCTGAGGAGAGCTACTCAGGGCTGGCTGCCTGGTTGAAGAGTGGTAAGTTTTAGTAGGTACATCTATCCAGCCCTCCAGGGGCCAGGGAGGTAACAGAAATGAATGAGGAGATTGCTGGGGGAAAGAGGGATGAGAGAGGGTGTGTGTTAGCTTTTAAAGGGGATGCTACCCAGCTCAGCCAGCTGTTGCCATGTTAAAAGACAGACCCAGATTTCCTTGATCTTCTGATTTTTTCATGAGAATCCAGAATCTTGACTTTTGTATGAAAATCTTTCCCTCCTTAAAGGTTGGTAATGCATTCCTATTTTTTAAAATAGTCACTATGAAGGCCAACCAAATACTGCCATGAGCTGCATCCTGTCCATGGGCTGCAGTTTGAGAACTCTGGACCACACTGAGTAGGCCCTTCACATGAACCACCTTTTCTGTGCCTATGGACTCGGGCTGAGAAATTCCTCCTCTTTGCTGTTCTGGGCACAAGGTAAGAGCTGTGGAGAGCAGAGTCACCGTGGCTGCTGGCTACTCTTCCATTGTATTTACCACATTTTTCTTTAGACCAAAGTCGGCTTGTTTGGAAAACTGTTTTCCATTTCTCCGGCTACTTGGTAGATAACATCTAACGGCGTGGCCCTTGGTGACTGTGCACATACCTGAAGACCACTCCTGAGGGGTCTGGTGGGCTTTGTTCACCGCCCCTGAGAAAGGATCCTTCCCCTTTGTGCCAAGTGGATTAGCTCTCCACAGTGTCCAGCCCCACCAGGCCCCACAGCCCGGCGCCTTCCAGCCGAAGCCAAAATCTGCACGCCCCACGCTGGTGCTCCTTACCAGACAACAGAACCTGTTTCAAACGTAATTGTTTCCTTCATCCCAAATTGCTGCCCAGGGATTCCATAATAGAGGAGAAAGTGGATTTAATTGTTCCTCAATGCCCAGTGCCTGATGGCTCGGAGCTCGACACAATAGGAACACACTCCAGAGTTCATGGGCTTGTTCCCTCTAAATTGCCTCTTTAATTAAACCCGGGCTCGTTTCTATTATGTGTGCCTGCTCGCCCTTTCTGGGAGGGGGCAGCTATTATTGTAACTCTAGGGTTCTTTCAAGGAGCTCAGAACGGCCACATCGTGCCTGGAGTTACCTGGTGCGGAGCTTGGAAGGGGTCAAAGACTCATTATTTGTCTGTGCTTGCGGCCGTTGCTTTATCGACTCTGCTCTTTAAGCAGAAGGAATATTAAAATACCCCCCAAGGTCATTTGACTCAATTTAACAGATCTTACTGGGCACTGAGTGGGGTGCTGGGGTGTCTGGGATGCCCACGCCACAGTCCTGGGCCTTGGGGAACTCCAGGCTCAGAAGAATAAAGACTGAAATAAAACGGTTATAGGCCCAAAGCATCCACTTTCAGGGAGGAGAGTGGGAAAGCCTAGTCTCAGGGGAGGGGTAACAGGAAGAGCTGAAGGTCAGCCAAGGGGCCGCTAATGTGATGGTGCTTTGATGCCACCTAATATTAGGTGTATCGGGGCAGTGGAGGAGCCTTGGTGGTGCAGTGGTTAAGTGCTCAGCTGCTAACCAAAAGGTGGGCGGTTTGAATCCACTAGCAGATCCACAGAAAAAAGATGTGGCATCTGCTTACCTAAAGATTACAGGCTTGGAAACCCTATGGAGCAGGTCTACTCTGTCCTATAGGGTCTCTGTGAGTCAGAATTGACCTGACGGCACACAGCAACAACAACAGGGGCAGTGGTGGTTCAGTGGTAGAATTCTTGCCTTCCATGTGGGAGACCCGGGTTCGATTCTTGGTCAATGCACCTCATGACCACCTGGCAGTGGAGGCTTGCACGTTGCTATGATGCTGAACAGGTTTCCTCAGAGCTTTCAGACTAACACAGACTAGGAAGAAAGGCCTGGCAATCTTCTTCCAAAAATCTGCTGGTGAAAACCCTATAGATCACAATGGTTCAATCCGAAACCAATCATGGGGATGGCACAGGACTGGACAATGTTTCATTCCATTGGGTGTGTGGTCACCACGAGTCAGGGGCTGAACCAATGGCAGCTAACAACAATATTAGGGGTGCTGAGTCTGTTCTCTCAGATAAATAGAAACACACACAAAGCTCCTAGGAGCCACCATGGGTCCCCAGGCCCCAGCTGCCCCACTCCAAGCACCTGTTCCCCAAACCCAGAGAGCCCCTACCACCTTTGTCTTCTCACTAACTCATTCTCTTTGCATCTCAAAGACCTGACAACAGCAAATGGCAAGAAACTCAAAGCCCTTCAAATCTCTGCTTATGCCCTATGGTTTTTTAAGGAGCAGCCACTAAAGGAAGACTAATGGCCGAAGCCAGAGCCAGGATTTGCCTACATGCCAGTCCAGCCCCTGTGCATGGACTGGCACACTGTCAAACGAGGGGTGACGGCACAGGCTGGAGGATGAGGCGGGGCTTTGCAGCCAGAAATCGGACTTGAATATAGGGTGGCCTTTGGTAAGTTATATAACTTTTCTGAGCCCCAGTTTCCTCATCTGTAAAATAGGGCTACTCTGAGTAACTACCTCATGACCTTGTGAAAATGGCTGGCACAGAATAAAACCAAACCAAACCTATTGCTGTCGAGTGGATTCCGACTCACAGCAACCCTATAGGACTGAGTAGAACTGCCCCATAGGGTTTCTAAGGAGCAGCTGGTGGATTCAAACTACCAACCTTTTGGACAGCAGCCAAGCTCTTAACCATTGTGCCACTAGGGCACAGAATAAGCGCTCAATAAATGGTGACAGTTCAGTATCATGAAGGCCCAGCCATACCCTCTGCTTTCTCCCTGGACAGAGCAGCTGCTGTCTTACTCCTTTAACTTACATACCTTCCCATATTCCACCGATATCCACGATGGTTGACACGCTATTTTTATCACATCCCGGCATTTCCTCTCCTCCGTTTGGAAAGAAATCCAAATGGCCCACCTTTTGGCTCATTCCAAAACCTGAAACATTGGAAGCAGAGGTGAGCAGGGAGGTAAGCGGTCCCAAAGTTAGGTCCAGGCTGCAGAGCAACCAGAGTGAGAGCCTTCTGAGCTATTCCCCTTTTAGCACAGTTACTACTGCCCCCTCTGCTGAACGTTCCAGAAGATGGGCACTTAGAAAGATGAGGAGGGAGGAGTGGGCAAAGGAAGTGAGACAAGGGGAAGGTGGGCTCTGGGTGAGTGCACGCAGGCATGTGCTTATGTGTTTGTGTGTTTCCACGTATCTGTCTGTCTTGGAGAGGCCCTGACAAGACTGATGTACATTGATACCAGTATGCAGTAGGAGAATCGTATCAAACTGTGCAACCCGGTGCGATTTTTCTTACTGTTTTCATTTTAAAATGTTAACTTCTGTGTTATATTGAGATCATAGAACATGATATCATTAGACTGAGAGCCACAGCATACAGCGAGGTACACTGGCTTCTGGAGCACATAAAGCTGTTATCAAATCCTGGTTCCACTTAAGACTTCGTGATGCTGAGCAGCTACTTAACCTCACTGAGCCGCAGTTTTCTCGGCTATAAAATGGTGAGAATTATACCCACTTTTCAGGGTTGTTACAAGGGTTAGTGAGATGATGTATGAGAATGTTCATTCAGCACAACACAGGGTAAACACTCACTAAGTAATATTATCATCATCATTAAAAACGTGCCCTTTATTGGCAAGTTTCATGAATGATCAGGTGAGGAACTACTGAAAAGAGAACACTGATTTTAGAAGGATTAAAAAAGGGATAGATTTAATCACCAGCAAAACCAACTGTGACCAAAGCTTTGACAAAAGAAGGAAGAAACAATCCCCCGCATCAGCTTTATGTTTTGCAAGAACAGGTCACGCATCAATAATACAGAGATTTTCCACTCTAGATACTGGCAGATTGCGGAAGGATGAAGGGTTTGCAGACTGCCTTTGATAGGCTAGAAAAGTGCTTCTTGTCCTATCCGGCGCTGCAGGCTGATACCACTGGCACTGCCTGGTTATTTGTTGCTGACACCCATTTTGACGGGTGGGTGCCCAAACTATTCCTGTGTTAACCATTTTGAATGTCACTCCGGCATTATGTGTGTGTGTGTGTGTGTGGTGCAAGGGGACACCTGGGCTATAACCCTAGCCACCAGGAGGCAGAGTCAGGAACTCACCTAGGTTAGGAATTATGGGAGAAGCATCCGTGTGAATCACATCCACAAACACGGCGTCGGATGGATCCAGCCGAACCTCCTCGGGTGTGTCTTGGAAGCATGGCTCTGCTGGATCCAGCCCTAAAAGGGAGGAGATGAACAGACAAGCTGGCACCTGAACTCTGTATCCACAAACTGGGCATGATGATTCCTGGGCAAAGGGCCCTGGACCCCAGCATCCATGGTTTGAGGCGTGGGTCTGCAGCTCCTGGTCTACTCAGGAGAGAGAGACTGGGCAGAAAGATCTGAAGTGCGGCTACTGCCTGTCTAAGAACAGTCAGACATCCTGAGTGGCTGGCTCTATGGAGGATCCATGGAGGATCCGGGTGGCCCCCTGGCCCGCCTCATTTCCCTTTTCTTTTTTTTCTCACGTTACTATTTGGCCATTGCTCTTGGAGACAGCAAGCTCCCTGGTCCCACCCAGCTAGTCCCTAGTCCCTGAGCCCTGCCCAGCCTATTCCTGTGTGTCATTGTTCATGCTGTTCCCTAATCTGCTATGCCCTTTCCCACATTCTCACTTCATCAAAATCTTTCTCCTCCAAGACCCAGCTCAAATGCCACCTCCTCAGTAAAAGCCCCTCCATCCTAACATGTAAATTTTAGTTTCCCCTTTCTCAGTCCATTCCATCCACACGTGGAGAATTACTTCGCTTTGATTTCCTTTGCCTACTTAGATGTCTGCCTTCCAGACTAGGCCGTGAATTCCCTGAAGCAGGGGCTGGGCCCACTTCATCTTTAAAGAGAAGCAGAGCGTGGAGGAGTGAGGCTTACAGGGCTCAGTGACCTACATTCCCACTATGGCTCTGCTCAAGGTCAAACACCTGTCCTCTCTGAGCTTCAGTTTCCTCATCTGGAAAGGGAGAATAGTGGCAACAACCTACCCTACAGGGTTCTTGTGAAAACCACGTGAAAAGATGCAAGAGAGAGGACTTTGCACACTGAAATTCTACACACACACTATTATTACCATCCCCTCATCCTTCACCCAGTCCTAGCACAGGGTCGTGAGCAAAGGGGACCCTCATTAAATGTTGAATTAAACTGTTTGCCAAAGTTGCATACTGATTTAGCTGCACAAAATAAATAGTTGTCTATGCCTATGTGTTGTGGGCATACAGTTTTGCCTAGCGATTCATTCATTCATTCAGTATTTACTGGGCACCTCCTAGTGACAGGTCTCACCTACCCTCTTTCATTCTCTGCCTGTGCCTGGCACATAAGAGGCACTCAGTCAATAGCTGTGAAACTGAGGAATTAATTTTTGTTCACATCAGCTCACTTACGACTTGCACTATGCCTTACACTAGAAATAGGAGCTCTGAAGTCATATGTTCAGTGTTCTAGTTATATTTTTCTTTATAAATGTATTTTTATTTATAATTATATAGATTTTTAATACCCATTAAAATGTACGTACAAGATATGTGCCTCACCTGAAATCAGTTCCAAGAGGACCAATAGGAGCGCCCTTCGCCTGGGAAGTGCACGGATCAGGCTTCCGCTGCCCGCAGCCGGGTTTTGCGCCCCCCACCTCTGGGTTTTGGGTTCCCCCCACCTCCGGGTTTTGGGTCCTTCCCACACCCCGGGTTTTGGGGTCCTCCCCCTCGGGCTTTGGGTCTCCGGCCGGGCCTCCGCGACCCCTACCTGTGATCCTGGCCACGCTTCCGTTCAGCCTCTTGCCAGCCTCCCCCGCCACGTGCGAGCCCAGGCTGTGGCCGATGAGGTGCACGTTCTCGGGGCCTTGACCCACCTCGGTCTGCGGAGGGGCAGGTCCCACAGGACGGGGTGAGGACGGGCCTGGTCTGGGAGGGGGGCCTTGCCCTGCCAGGGTAGAGGGTGCCGGAGCTAGGTTCTAAAGGAACCCCGACCCCCAGGGCGCCGTGGTCTTGTGAGTCCCAGGGCGGGCTCGTGCGCGGGGCAAGAGTGCTGACCAGCGGCCACCACGTCAACTGCACGCCCGCTCAGCGCCTGCTCCCATTCGCCACCCCACAGCAGGCTCCCTTCCCTCATCCTTGGCAGGGGTTGGGCCTATCCAGGAGAGCGTGGGTATTAGGGCGTGGGCAGAGGGGCTCCTGGGTTCTCCAGGAAAGCCTTCTAGAAGGATGCAAAAGGCTTTCCCTAGCGAACTGCCTGAGAATGAAAATTCGTCTCCTGGACTGAGAACTGCAGGGTAGCCCAGTGGGCTCTCTCAGCCCCAGAACAGCCCGAAGGGAAGGCCTTACTTCAGAACGTGGAACTGAGGCCAGGAGAGGTGAAATAGGTTGCTTCGGTTCCCACAGTTGGGTAATAGTAGGGTCTGGGGCCTTCAGGAAAATCCACGGGGGAGAAAGATTCCTCAGCAAAGGCCTTTTTTGGTTAGAATCTGGGCTACCCGGCTTCCAGCCCCTGTCCACAGGGTCCCCATGCTGCCTCTGGTACAATGTGGTCCTTCCCTGCCCCTCCCTCTGCCCCTACCCACACAGAATGTGGCCCAGGCAGGGTTTTACCGACAGCACTTGTATTAAGAAAGCTATCTCCGCTCCCACGACCCGGACGTTTTGGACAGCTTGGCTATATGTTGTCCGGGACCCTTTTTTCCAGTCCACACAGATGCAGTTCACTTCCTCCACTGTAAACATTTTCTGGGGAAGACATTCAGGAGGGAGAAACTAATTTATGAACAGCCTTAGACTACACACCCCAGAGATAGGAATTCACATTCATCAAGCACCTAGCTTGTGTCAGAGCTTTAATATTCTTCATACCCACCATCACCTAATACTCACTGCAACCCTCTGACCTGGGTATACTTCTTTCCACTTACCAGATGTGAAAACTGAGGCTTGGAATAGGTAAGTGACTTGTCTAAGGTCTCACAGATGGTAATTGACACAGCCAGGTCATCAAAGACAACTTGCTAGGTCAGTGGTTGGCAAACTATGGCCCAAGGGCCAAATCTGTCTGTTTTTGTAAATAACGTTTTATTGGAACACAGCCATGCCCATTTGTTTACATATTGTCTGTGGCTGCTTTTGCACTATAACAGGGTTGAGTTGAGACCATATGACCCACAAACCCTAAAATAATTTACTTCTTAGTCCTTCACGGGAAAAGTTTGCTGAGCTCTCCACTGGACAGTTGAAGCTGCAGGGTGCTGCTTTTGTTTCCAACTACACTTTGGTTGGAGATACAACGTGTTGAGGGCAAAGCTTAAGAAGATAAAATTCAGACAGAGACAGGCCACAAGTCTCGTGAATCGATGTATCTTTAATATTATGTGGTGTGACTACGGGCTACTGCTCAAGCACAGATACTGGCCCCCTGAGGGGTGGGGGAGCAAATGCCAGAAAGGGCTACTCCACACCCTTTCTTCATTTTGGGATGCCCTGGGCAGCACACTGTTTGGGGGGTGGGGTAAAAGTGGCTGGAGGTCAGGGCATCATGGTGAACCTCTTCCTCTCCACCAGCGCCTCCAGCCTATCTCTGGAATTCAGGGGCCAAGGGTCAACACTCCAGCCCCGAGAGGGGCCAGGAGTCTGAGGGCAGAGGCCACTTAGGGGTCTGTCCCAGTGTCGTCCAGGGAATCCTTTATGAGCAATGTCTGTGGTCCTCCCTGCGGGATTGTGGTCTCTTGTGAACAGAGACCTGGTTTTGCATTCCACCTCTGGATTCAAGCTTGGGCAAGTATTGAGCTTCTTTGTGCCTTAATTTTCTCATCTATTAAATAGGAACAATAATTACACCATCCTTACAGAGTTGCTGGGAAGATTAGATTAAATGGAATATGGAATATAAAATGATGAACACAGAGCTGGCTCACATGAAGTGCACAGCGAGTGGTTGGTACCAATAGTTATTCCTCGCTACTATTCACAATCACTTCAGAGCTGCACCGCCCGGAACGGTAACCACTAACTACATGTGGCTATTTAAATTAGTTAAAATTAGGTTAACTAAAAATAAGCAAGATTTAACGTTTAGCTCCTTGGTCCCACTAGCCACATTTCAAGTGCTCAGTGGCCGCATGTGGCTACGATGTGGACTGTGCAGATATAGAACATTTCTGTGCTCTGCGAAAGTTGTGTTGGAGAGCAGTGCTTTAGCAGGTCAAGTGAAGTTGATTTTTATGTCACCCAAGGGTTTTATATAAACCATCAGAGACAAATGCCAGGTAGTTTGCTATAGTCTCCAGCCCTGGGACTTTCTAGTGGACTCTGGTCTCTTCAACCTCAGAGGAGGTAGTTGGCTAGAAAGTGGTGGGTTGGGAGACCTGGGAGTGGATGCCTCTGAGAATCCAGGCTTTCGTCGGTGGCTTTAGGAAGGCTTTCCTTTCCTGTCTTAGGGGCATTAGAGCTATAGCATTTGAATCTGTGTGCTGGGTGCTGTTCTCACCAGGAACGGCCAGATAAGGAGCGTGGGCCACCCTTACCTTGCACATATCTGGCAGCCAGCCCTCTTCCCCCTCATCTATGAAGCCATGGATGATGAAGCGCGTCTTGCGGTCTGGTTTGAAGTTTGAGGCCTCGATGGTGTCTGGATCTGTAGCACTGATCAGCTGGTTTAATTAGAAAAGATGAATTTGAATATTGGACTTTCCAAGCCATAGACCCATAGAGCCAGTTTCAGTAAGACTGAGGTCGCCTCCTATGAAGTTGGGCTAGCCTAGAACAGGAGTTTCTAACCTGCGGTTCATGGATAGAACTCAGAAAGTCCAAGTTCATGGACTTTTTAGTTTCAATAACCCCTATCTGAAATCTAGCATTTCCATTAATTATGAAATTAGGTAACAAACTACAGTGCTATGAGCAGCACCTGTGACTCTGTCGCCACTAGAATTCTCAGATATTTTCATGTCGTATCATAGTCATTGCAAGTATCTCAAAATATCCTTTATGCTCATTACTGTCCTAGGATAAAGTAGTTATTAGACAGTCCCTGAATCTTGTTGTTTAATGAGGAAATGTAGTGGCACATACATTCCTTTATTACATATTTCTATTTTTAAAATATTTTGATAGTTATTTTTCAACATAATTGGTTTCCTTTGTAACTCTGTGTATGCTGCTTTATGCCTTTACAAAGATTATTCTAAGCTGACATCCATAGGCTTCCCCAGATAGCCAAAGAGGTCCTGGCACAACAAAGGTGAAGAACCTCTGATCAGAAGCCTTGGTCATGAAGGCAGGGCCAGCCCAGTGGAGCTGTGAGGGGTGGTCTCAACTCTATGAGAGTTAAAAACAGACCTGTTCCCAAATGGCCCCCTTCCACCACCCCACATAGACGAGATGCTGGCAGAAGGATCAGGATCACAAAATAGAAACAACTCAATGACCACGTCCAAGCAGATCCTCTGCTGAGGGCACTGAGTGGGAAAGTGGTCACCTGGGTTCTCCCAGCAGGTGACCTCAGAGATCTGCAGACACCTGACTCTCTAAACTTTGTCAGCGACGGGAGCTGTGAGCTGATCAAATTCTTAGCAAGTTCTTCCTTAGGAGGCTTTGAAACTGTCTCCTGGTCACTCCCAACCACCTGGGATAACCCCGTCCTGATTCCACCTGGGAGGCCTTCTGGGAAGGGAAGGCGCTGTGAGGGTCTCTACCTTGTTTCTTTCTTGTTCAGTAGCCCCTCTCTACCACCTGTCTTCTTGCTCCTTAGGAAGGATTTACATTCTCCAAGGGGCTTCTCTCCTTCCACTGTGCGGCACGGGAAGGGGACAGACCCTCATGGGGATACACCAGGGCTGGGTTTCCCTGTAAAAACTGCTCATACTTCCTTTCATACCCTGATAAAAACACCAAGCCTGCAGATGTCGAGTTGATTCTGACTCGTAGCAATCCTATGGGACAGAGTAGAATTGCCCCATAGGGTTTATAAGGCTGTAACCTTTATGGAAGCAAACTGCCACATCTTTCTCCCTCGGAGCGGCTGGTAGATTCGAACCACTGATCTTTCAATTAGCAGCCGGGTGCTTAACCACTGCCACTAGGGCTCCTTCCCATGCCCTAGAACAGGGTTTTTACTCTTGCAAAGCTCCTGAAGTCTATGCATAATTGTGTGTGAATGGGTATGTTTCTGGGTTGCATGCACATCCATAGATTTCATGAGGGTTTATGATTGCAAGAGCTAAGATGGTGCTAGGTCTAACATTGGTGAGGGAGCTACCATCTGGAAAGCTCCATGGCAGTGAATTATGCCCTAGACCTCCATGTAAAGGTTCCAGTGTGAGGCCCCTGTTCACCCACCATCCAGTCATTGCCAAGCCCTTGCTTACTTGGTAGTTGTTCTGATTTTCATTTGTGTACAGAAGAAAGCGGGTGTCAATGTCTTTGGGGTCCCAGGGAAGTACATTTATAGGCCGCTGAAGGGTCCCTGCCCACGGTTTTTCATTAGAAAAGCAGCCAAGACGTTCATAGCAGATTTCGTTCCCTGGGGCAGGAAGAGGCACAAACATGGCACTTGTGAGGCTCTGAAAAGGAGCAGTGTCATGTCAGCAACACAAACCAGCTGTCAGGATGGAGCCCAGGTCTGGCTAAGGCCAATGTTGGTCTTTGTCTTTGCCAAATGTTCCCCAAAGTTCGGTGGTGACAAGAATCACCTGGGCATTGGGGTGCATGTGTGTATTGAATATACACATTCCCAGGCCTCTCCCTCGGCGATTCCAATTCAAGGGGTCTGGGGTGGGAAAATAGCATGTTTAACAAGTGTTCCTTATAATCAGGCAAAGAGAGAAGTCACCTGGGAGTGACCTTGGGGGCGTGCCTGCCTGTGGGGCAGGAGGAGGCAGATGAGGAGCAAAGCAGATGAAAGGGTGGGAAATGCCTGAGTAGCAGCAGAACCCCACCTCGACCGTCAGAAGCCGGGTCTCGGGCCAGGAGGGAAGGGAAGGTCAAGAGTGGGCTGGGGCTGGCCAGGAGACACAGATGGAGGGGCCAGGATGCAGACGAAAGCCCTGGCAGGGACGGAGGAGAACACATCTGCCCTCGAGGAGAATGCCCCTCAGGGGGTTAGTGGGGCCCAGGCCAGGCAGTAAGGAGAGGAGGCGAGGCGGCCCAGGCAGAGAGGGCAAGAGGTCCTGTGAGGAATTCGGGGGAGAGATGGGAAGTAAACAGGCTGGGCGCGAAGGGGACTTGGGTGTCAAGGGAGGCTAGTTTTGTTTTAGGAGAAATAGAACTTGGGTATCTGAATCTCCTTTGGACAGAAGCCAGAGGAGAGGGAGAAATTGGAGGTGGGAGAGGCAGAGCCCATACCCGTGGGAAGGGTGAAAGTGGGGGCGGTGGGCAGGAGGGTGGGGTCATCTAGCTAGCCTGGTGGGACGTGGAGTGCTCAGGGGGCACGTCCAGGTGGCTTTAGCCTGCGACGTGCATTTGTCCACGAGGAGGGATGGAGGATGTGAGGGGCCTGAAAGAACGCCCCACCCTCCGCTGCCCAGCCACCTGCTGCCTACAGACAGTCCCTACAGCCACTACAGCCTGTGCAGGAGACATGGCCTGAGCATGAGATTACTCGAGAACATCGGTTTCAAGCACGTTGCTCTGTGTTTGCCACAGAATCAATACTCCCTGAATGGCAGAAGTTGCTGTTTCTCCCAAGATAATGATAATGCTATTAATAATAATGGTTATTACGTCCTTGAGCTGCATCACCCAAAGCCCAGCCCAGGCCTGGTCACTTTCTCCCCGAGGGGAGGTGACAGTGTTCTTACCTCTGACGGTGGCCAGCAGGAGAAAGCTGAAGGTCCAAGAGAGCAGCATCTACGTGGATGAAAACACAGACACGCACAGACACCCATGTGCACAGGCATGAGGCTGGCAGGGCAGGAACCCTGGACAGGGCAGGGGGCCCTGAGCACATACGGGCCCTTCCTCCAGGTGAGGAGCTTGAGGCCAAGGCCTCTCAACCCACAGGGAGTGGACAGCGCTGTGCTGGGACCCCAGACTCAGGGTTCTTCCCCCGCAGTGGCATCCCCCTTCTGGACTAGGTCTCCCCTGGCAGCCGGGCTCCCCAGCCCTACCAAGCTCCCTGCTGGGACTTACTGTTTGGCAGCAAAGCGTCCACTCTCGGCCCAGCAGGTTGTACGTGGCCTTTTATAACCAGGCTTTATCCTTTGGACGTCCCTTAGTGGAAGGGACAGGCGAAGATAGGTAGGGCATGGCATGGGTGTGCTTTGGACCTGAATTATCATAAACACATAAAGCCGTCTTAATCTGGGAGCAGGATTGTTTATAAAGTGAGATTCAAGGAAAGGAAAACCAGATTTGGGGATGTGCAAAGGCTAGTTAATCAGAATTTACAAGTTCAGTTGCCAAAAGATTATGTTCCCAGAGTGATAACAGGGTAACACCAGCATGCAGCACCTCCCACTGAAAATCCCTTCAGGAACACGAACAACAAATCCTCCTGTTGCCCTGTAGCTGTTGACAGACCTGCAGGAACGGGCAGACAAAGGACTTGCTAGTCGGTGGAAGTGTATGTCTATGAAGACACACGCCTTGTTTACTTTGGGGTGGGGAGGGTGGAGGGCATTCTCCCGCTGAACTTAGACATTGCTCACTTGGGCAGCATGTATATCAGTGAACTTAGGATGAAAATGAAGGCAACTTTGCTAACCGAGAAGTTAGAAAGAATAAAACACTGTTTGAATACAGCTTTGTTTAGGAAAAAAAAAAAAAAAAAGGTCTATTTTTAGAGTATGTACGTACTTTAAATCACTACCCATCTGTCAGTTTGCCATACTGGGATGGCTTGCATGTTGCTGTAATGCTGGAAGCTATGCTACCAGTATTTCAAGCAGGGTCACCCATGGTGTCAGTGGAGTGCCCAGACTAAGACTAGGAAGAAAGGCCTGGTGATCTACTTCTGAAAATTAGCTGATGAAAATTCTGTGGATCACAACAGTATATTATCTGATACAGTGCTGGAAGATAAGTCCCCTAGGTTAGAAGACACTCAAAATACACAATGGCTGCAACAATGGACTTGGGCACAATAGTGATTGTGAAGATGGCACAGGGCTGGGCAGTGTTTCTTTCTGTTGTACTTGGGGTTGCTATGAGTTGGCATCAACCTGATGACGGCTAACAACATGTATTTTGAAAGCAGTGTATCTGGACCGCATCCGAGCTTGACTTGGAAATAAGAAGGCGAAGGTGTTTCTTCCCTTCACTGCTGAGAGGGGAACCTGGGTGAATAGGCAGGCGCTGCCCTGCCATTTTTTAAACTGATGCACCATTTAGATACACCAAAGTGCACAGATCTTAAGCATACAGTCTAATAAGTTTTGGCAAGCATATACTCCCATATATACTTCCCAAACCGAGATATAAAACATTTCCAGCTGTCAGAAGTTTCTCTTTTGATTCTTCTACCTCCACCCCCATGGCCACTGCTCTGATTTCTATCACCACAGATTCGTTTTGTCTGTTCTAGAATTTCATATAAATGGAATTGTACAATATATGCTCTTCAGTGTCCTGCTTTTCTTACTGAACGCAGTTTTAGGCTTCATCCATGCTGTTACATGTATGAGTAGTTGTGCTTTTTAAATTAGCGTGTAGTATTGCTGTGATGTATTTCTGTGCGAGTATATCACAGTGTGTCATTCTGCTGTTGATGGACATTTGGGACAGTTGGAGGCTATTATGAAGAATGCTGCTAGGAACATTCTAGTCTATTAAGTGTCTTTATATATATATATATACACACATTCATTTCTCTCAGGTTTATACCCAGGAGTAGAATTACTGGGTCATGGGAGAGGAGCTTTGAGCTGCTGCTAATCCCTGGGTGCTGTGTTATCCATCCCTTGTTGGTTCCCTCAACCCTGTCCACACCTCTGTAAACACTCATTTCATTGAGTGGGTCGTCTGTTTACCACTGGGGCCCAGATGGATGTAGCTGGCCACTGGACTCCCCTGAGAGAGAATGATTGCAGTGGTACGTTGACCATTCAGTGGTCCAGAGACTTGTGGACCATTTAGGGGGATTACATAGGCATGGGAACATTTCTTTCCTGACTTTGTATTCCCAGTGAGTATTTTATTTTTATTAGCCTCTTCACCAGAGGGTTTTGGATTGCATTGTTCTTAGATTTTTGTTTTCCTACCCATACTAGTTTCAGCCAACTCATTTTGTGACTTGAATGTAGTTTGTGCCAAAAGTTTGGCTAAGGGACATTCAGATAATCTGTGGGCTCTATCGTCAGGGCTCCCCTGGGTCCAAACATAGGTCAGTCAAGGAACCCAGGGAAACCTACTCCCTTGAGTGTCCAGTGGTGTTTCATCTGATCAACTTCTACCCATAGGGCAGAGCTGAAGAGAAGGGGAATGATTATAGTCAGTCTGCTTAGGCAAGAAGCAACGCCTGTTATTGCAAGGCTACCAGGCTCTGTGTTAAGTGCCAAGGGCAGGACCTGGTCATTTTGCCCTCAAAGACTCACTGAGGCAGATTTGCTCAATATAAGGAAAATTTTTTCCAAAGGTTAGAATTATCGGGAAATAGAGTAGGGTTTTGTTGGTGGGGACTGAGCTCCCTGCCTCACCTGAATGACGTTACAACTTGGATAAAGGGAGACGGAAGTCAAGCATCAGGTAATGGTTGACTTAGGTCAGTCCTGGAAACTGTGACATGGAAAAAGGATGCCACCTTTCTATTTAAGCGAGAATCACCCCTAAAGCAGTGAGCCCTTTTTTTTAAAGAGGGTAACAATTCACCCGAGAGGCAATATAACCCATGTTAGTGAGAAATAACCTGATTGAACACATCTGGGGAACTACAATCTCAAAGACAGATGTTGAGGGCCATGCTGAGTATCGGACAGGAGTAAGGTGGGTATTGGCAGAAAATGGCAGAGATCCAATCATAGCTCTCAGAGCTTTAACCCCAAAACCAAACCCACTGCTGTCGAGTTGATTCCATCTCATAGCACTCCTATAAGACAGAGTAGAACTGCCCCATGGGGTTTCCAAGGCTGTAAATCTTTTTTTTTTTTTAATTTTTTAAATTTTATTTTAGATGAAGGTTTACAGAACAAATAGTTTCTCATTAAATAGTTAGTACACATGTTTTATGACATTGGTTAACAACCCCATGACATGTCAACACTCTCCCTTCTTGACCTTGGGTTCCCTATTACCAGCTTTCCTGTCCCTTCTTGCCTTCTAGTCCTTGTCCTGGGCTATTGTGCCCCGTTAGTCTCGTTTTGTTTTATGGGCCTGTCTAATCTTTGGCTGAAGGGTGAACATCAGGAGTGACTTCGTTACTGAGCTAAAACGGTGTCCGGGGGCCATACTCTTGGGGTTTCTCCAGTCTCTGGCAGGCCAGTAAGTCTGGTCTTTTTTTGTGAGTTAGAATTTTTTTCTACATTTTTCTCCAGCTCTCTCTGGGACCTTCTGTTGTGATCCCTATCAGAGCAGTCAGTGGTAGCCGGGCACCATCTAGTTCTACTGGACTCAGTCTAGTGGAGGCCATGGTAGTTGTGGCCCATTAGTCCTTGTATCTTGCTTTCTTCATTCTCCTTTGCTCTTGAAGGGGTGAGACCAATGGAGTATTTTAGATGGCTGCTCACAGGCTTTTGAGACCTCAGATGCTACTCACCAAGGTAGAATATAGAACATTTTCTTTGTAAACTGTTATGCCAGTTGAGCTTGATGTTCCCAGAGACCATGGTCCTCACAACCAAGGATGTAAATCTTTATGGAAGCAGACTGCCACATCTTTCTCCTGCAGAGTAGCTGGTGGGTTCAGACCGCCAAGCTTTCAGTTAATAGCCGAGCACTTAACCACTGTGCCACCAGCACTTCTCACAGAGCTGTAAAGTACTCAAGAAATAGAATACCTTGTTTATTCCATTTTATAAATGAGATAACAAGGGGCCCAGAAAGTTTAGGGGCTTAGTTTAAGGGTGAATGGAAGAGTAGGACCTTGATCTCAGGACTCTACCTGTACTGTGGTGCTACTGTCTCTCTTGTGGGCCTCAGTTTGCTCATCTGTGAAATGGATGGAATCTAGGCAGATTCAAGAATATTGACCTTGCGCCAGGCTGATTCCTAAAGAGGGGTGGGAAGCTGTGCCATGGTCACCAGTGGTTGGAGGCAGACCCACAGGGTGTCCTCACACAGTCCAGAGCCTTCCTGGTGTCTTCGGTAAGGCCGCCCCAGTTAGGACTCAGGCTGCCACGGAGGAAGGGAGGGAAGGAGGGAGGGAGGGAGTGAAAAGGCCTCCCACTTGCTTGCAAGGCCAGCTCAGCTCACCTCTGCTGTCCTTTCTGGGGGGCATGGAGAAGGCTCTGCCAGTTGGATGCCATGGGAAGGAAGTGAAGGCCAGCACCTGTGGGAAAAGTCTTTCTCTAGCCACATGGTCGGCAGGAGGCAGGGTCGGGCCTTAGGAGCTCTGCCAGCTGGCACAGCTGCCCCCCAGGAGTTGGGCAGAGTGACTTGGGTCTTCCTTCTCCTACACCCTAACCTGAGGCCTGTTGAAACTGCTTGTTTCTCACCCTTAACACCTCTTGTATCTGTCCCCTACCCTGGCCCTGGTACAGCTACCATCGCCTCTCTGGGGCCTCTGCAGCCTCCTTCTGCAGGTCAGCTTCCCACAGTCCCTCCCCCATTTAATGCTGGGGATGGGCCTTGTTGCCCAGAGATGTGTGATGCCTGTGTTTGCTCCCTCATTCCCATTCATGTTTATGTGGCTACAATGTGCCTGGCCTGAGGGCACAACAGTGAACAAAACTCCCTCCTCCCAGGGGTGGATGACC